AAGATTTGTTCACCTTACAATCCAGGGACGGTCGGGGACAGTCTGGGCGAGTCGGAGACGAAAATGAACAAGTGCTCTTCTCCGATCGTCCCTGATCGTACACGATGCGCAGTTGTACATGTTAGGTTAAGTTAATGCTGTGTGTAAACAATAGTTTGTAAATAAAGAAGTGCAAATACAAAAAAGTTTGTTTACTTTTTGCATTAACCTAACCTAACGTGTACAACTGCGCATCGTGAACGGTCAGGGACGATCGGGGACGATCGGAGAAGAGCACTTGTTCACTTTCATCTCCGACTCGCCCAGACTGGCCCCGACCGTCCCTGGATTGTAAGGTGAACAAATCTACAGTCTGAAGAGACGAAAATCGTCGACTGGATTTTTTATAAGGCTGAAAAAGGTTCTCCAGTAACAAAAACAGAGCTTCTTAATTTAGTTGAAAAATATGTAAAGATATTGGGCAGATCAACGCCTTTCATTGATGATCGCCCAAGCCGGCGCTGGTATGAGAGTTTCATGAAGCGTCATCCTCAAGTTTCTCTCAGGAAACCCTAGCATTTAAGCACGAGCAGAGCAGATGTCACCTAAAAGGATTTGAAAGACTGGTTCAAGGAGCAAGAAATTTACTTAAAAGAAAAAAACCTAATAGATATCTCTGCAAACAGGGTTTTTAACTGCGACGAGACCAATGTGGTGCTGTGTCCTGAGTCAGAGAGAGTCTTGACAAGAAAGGGATCACGAGCAGTTTATGAAATTGTCGAAGGGGAAAAGGAGAGTCTCACTGCTCTTTTTATGTATGCTGCTGATGGTACTCGAGCACCACCAATGATTATGTTCAAGTATAAAGAGGAAGTACCAGACGCTATCGTTGAAAATACTCCCACATATTGGGGCATTGGCGTTTCAGATTCTAGATGGATGACAACTGAAACTTTTTTGAATATCTAACCAACGTATTCTATCCATGGTTGCTGAAAAGCAAGATCCAGTTTCCAATCATTATCTACATGGCTAATCACTCTTCTCACAATCGTTTTGAAAGAAACACTTGACAGCATGAGTGAGGAAAAAAGTGTGGTAATCAGTGGATTTAGAGCATCTGGACACTACCCGCTTAATTTTGAAGCTGTAAATTACAATGTGTTAAACAAAAAGAAGCGACCCAATGAAACTGTAGTTCAACAATCCGACTCATGCAATTTCAACCTACTTGAAGCATTTCAGAAGAGTTTACCAATTGAAACCCTTGCCAAGTTTCACACTGCATATGAAGCTGGATCTTGGACGGGCAATATAGAAAAAAAAGCTATGTTAGAGTATTGGGTGAAGCTTAGTGGAAAATCTTTCGGTACCTAGTCCAAATATTGCTCCATTTTTCGTTTCAGTTCTCTCAAAATTATGTTCTACAAATATTTATATCGAAATCTTTTAATTTTTGTGATGGAATTATTTACCCAAAGTTTTTTATTTTATTTTATCTCATTAGTTTTGAAATAATGACATATTTTTTGTTTGACTTTTTATATTTAGATGAGATTGATAATGAGTGTCGTGTTATTGATAGTTTGAATATGCCTAACACTCATCAAGTACCCGAAGATCCTGCATTAATAATTAACACTCCTAATCACCTACCACTACGTACTTCTCCATTACCTATCAATGTTGAGCAATTAATTCATGCTGATAGTTTACCTTTGTTGACTGAAAACATTGACTCAAACGATCAAATAAGAAATCTTTTACAAGATAATAATGTTCCTATGTTGCAACAGTCAGGTATAGTTCAAATCTCTTCAGATGATATTCTTAATGCAGACATTACAAGTAGAGATTTGCCATACTGTAATGAGCAGGACGAATTACAAAGTATAGGTATGGAATCTATAATTATCTGTAAAAAAATATATTGGATTCATGTCCATAACAATACCCTACTCATAATATAATGAAATATATTGAAGGAATTGCAAAAACAATCCAAGCTGAAAAGTTTGTAACTTAGTATTATAATATAGGGTGGTTCATTTTTCAGTATTATTGATAGTCAATTTTCGTTATCAATTACTTATAAGTGTTTAAAACTTCTAAAATGTTTCTTTGATACTGAGAATAACAATAAAATACTCGTTGTGCAACATCAGTAACATTGTACTGATGTAAATAGAAAATTTAGTTTATGAGATTTGAAATCTCGCGCTTTAGGATATTCTCTTACCTATAAGGGCCAATCATAAGCGTGCGCGCGTCTATTAATACACCAATAGACTCTGTTTATACTTACCTTTGTCCAGCAGCTTGCTGCTGCTGCGGTTATCGTTAGTCAGCCTCAAACGCCCTTTTCGGTAAGTCGCTTTGCGCTCGTGTTTATAATTTTCACGTGTATCGTTTTATGTAAGATTATTGTAACGAAAACGATTCACAATTTCGATTGACACGTAATTTCTCCGTCTGACTCAAAAATTAGTTCTGCCTTTTTTTATCTTGCATGTAAGCAAGTATTATGACTTGTTAAAGTAGAATTAAATAGAGAGATTGTTTTTTATAATAAACGGCTAAAGTGTTTAAAAGTGTGTTGTGCATTTATTATTGTGTCCTTTTATTACATCCGTTTTCACGCTCCCCCAAATCCGGCGTGCGATACACAAAAATATACAGTCCACTATCTTACTGAGTTCGATTTCGAACATGGTCCTTCGAGCCGGATGTGGGGAGGTGAAAAATAGGTGTAGGACATTTTCCTTTTGTGTAAGACACGTGGTTGTTTTATCGGCCATCTTGGCTTCTTTTTACGTTCTTCTCGGGCGACGAGGCTGACGCGGTCAACACGCCGGCGCGTAGTCCGTACGCACACACACACACTTATAGCCACATCTCTTTCTCTCTTTTCTTTATTCGTTTGTCGTCGGGTGCAAGCGAGTCCATTGTTTATTTTGGGGACTCACTGCTAATCGTGCTTTGGTCGTCGTCAGCGTATGGTGCTGCCTGCTTCGGCAGGCTACTAAAACAACACCACTGCTACTGCTCGTGCTTTGGTCGTCATCAGCGTGTGCTGCTGCCTGCCTCTGCAGGCTATTGAGACAACACCGCTGCTGCTGCTGGCTTCATGGGTCCTTTCGTCGTCAGCGTGTGCTGCTGCCTGCCTCTGCAGGCTATTGTGACAACACCGCTGCTGCTGCTGGCACCACGGGTCCTTTCATCTTCAGCGTGTGCTGCTGCCAACTTATACAGGCTGTTGAGTCAGTACCGCTGCTGTCAAGTACTGCAGGTCTTTTGAACTCAACATAACTACGAATACTTGGTCCTGTTTACACGGTTTGTAAAATTGTATATTTTGTGGTTTGTAATATCAGTTCCTTATAGTTTTCGTTTTTTTGTTTACCGATTGACTTGAATATATTTTTTGCGAACTTAACTTGTGTAAGCACTTGTAAAAATTAAGAACACTACCGTCGTTTAGCTTTATTGTTGAATTAGTTAGCCTTTGTCTGACTCAAGTTTGGCTACGGTGCGCGGTTTGTATTTATTTATTGAATATTTATTACTTGAATTGAAATTTACCTTATCAAAATGGATAACCTTTATGAGGTACAAGTTAAACTGTTTAACAAAATTAAAGGTTCCTTTACAAACTTGAAGAAACTTGGCTAAGTGAAAATGACCAGGGGTCAGGCTGACTCTAGGCTTCAACAACTCAGAGATACTTTTGAACAGTTTAAATCCACTCATGATAACATTATGAATATAAAACCTTTACCCACAACTCATGATTATTTTAAAAATGAGTGCTTTGAAGTGGGAGAGGATACTTTTTATTTAGTTTAGAGTGATTTTAACGATTTTTTCAATTCGCTTAATGATCAATTGAATTCAACAGGCACCTCACCTCCTACTAATGCCAATGGTAGTTCGTTTCAGATTTTCTCTTCTTTACCTCCAATAGACTTGCCATCCTTTGATGGTGATTTTGCTAGTTAGGAGAATTTTCGCGATGTTTATAGGGCTATAGTCCATAGGAAGCAAGAATTACCAGCTATTATTAAATATCAACATCTTAGGGCGCATCTTAAGGGTGAAGCTTTAGACCTCATTAAAAATATATATAAATCTGTAAATAACTTGACGAACTCTTTTACTGTACAAAATCAAGCTCAGATTTCCTCAGAGTCTAGTGTGAATGTACAGTCATGTAGTAGTGTTTATTTTTTGACTTTTAAACCTTTTCTGCTTTCGTGACCTGAAGATACGAAGGTCACGAAATGAGCAGAAATGTTTTTTAATGCTCGAAAATTTAAATGCGCATTTAAATTTTCTCCCTGGATAATAATGCTCCAGTTCCGAGAAATCTCCTTTCTTTCTTTATATGGGATTGGCAAGAGATTAACAACCAAAAATCGACTATTAAGTAATGATAATTTGTATTTAACAAAATAACATACAAAATGTAAGTTGACCAAGAGTTCGCTACGAGGAAACACGAATCTCAGTACGTGGTATAAAGGACGAAGCTCGAGACGACGATGTAGCAAGTCGTTCGAGAAGACCTTGGACTTAATCATAAGCAAGAAAGACTTTAAAGGGGCTCAGCTCGAGACGACGATGAAGCTAGTCGAACGAGCTGGCCTCCAAGAATCAGGCTGATCCTGTTATCCTTTTAATTCGTTAACAAATCACCTCTACTCAGAGAAGACGTGCGCTATACCTTAGGCGACTAGTTAGCGACGATGAGAAGGCTGCCCTGATCCTGTCACAATGGTTGCGAGTTTAGCCATAGAAAAGCTGCAGCGACTTTAAATATCAAGCTCGACTACGCGGGAGCGACTTGATACTTGAAAGGTCCGCGTGCTAGTAGAAGGAGCTCAGCCGAATACGCGAGCTCGCCAGCAAAGATACTCGGCGCTCGAGGCCGGAGAGGGAGAGGAAGCACCCACACCTGCGGGTATTGTACTAATTACCCGAGTCAACGACCAAGTGTGTGTGCTCCCACTACTCCAGGCTCCCATCTCCTCGCGCCTACATTAGAACGCGTTAACTACACTGATCCCGACAGCCTTCTCTCACAATATTCACTCTTAAGTGAACATATCGCCCGCCTTGACGAATTCAGCGT